CGTCAGGGAGCTGGTCAAGTGGAAGGCGGCCATGATGGTCAACGGCCACGGCATGACGCCGCTCAAAGTGGCCGCCGAGAGCTGCAAGGCCGACGTGGTGGAGCTGCTGCTGGCTCACGCCGACTGCGACAGGAGGAGCAGGATCGAAGCTCTGGAGCTGCTGGGGGCCTCGTTTGCCAACGACAGGGAGAACTACGACATTTTGAAGACTTACCACTATTTATATTTAGCCATGCTGGAGAGGTACCGCGACAGCGAGAATGTCATCGAGAAGGAGGTGCTTCCCCGGATCGAGGCTTACGGAAACAGGTCGGAATGCAGGACCCCTCAGGAATTAGAGTCCATTAGGCAGGACAGAGATGCCCTTCACATGGAAGGCCTCATAGTGCGGGAGAGAATCCTGGGCTCGGACAATATCGACGTCTCCCACCCCATCATTTACCGGGGCGCGGTCTACGCGGACAACATGGAGTTCGAGCAGTGCATCAAGCTCTGGCTCCACGCCCTGCACCTGCGGCAGAAGGGCAACAGGAACACCCACAAGGACCTGCTGAGGTTCGCTCAGGTCTTCTCCCAGATGATCCACCTGAACGAGCCTGTGAAAGCCAAGGACATCGAGAGCGTCCTGCGCTGCAGCGTGCTGGAGATCGAGCAGGGCATGGCGCGCATCAAAACCACCCCGGACGCCGACATCCACACGGCCATGGACAACTACGAGTGCAACATCTTCACCTTCCTCTACCTGGTGTGCATCTCCACCAAGACGCAGTGCAGCGAGGACGACCAGTCCCGCATCAACAAGCAGATCTACAACCTGATCCACCTGGACCCGCGCACGCGCGACGGCTCCAGCCTGCTGCACCACGCCGTCAACTCGGGCACGCCCGTGGACGACTTCCACACCAACGACGTGTGCAGCTTCCCCAACGCCCTGGTCACCAAGCTCCTGCTGGACTGCGGCGCCGACGTCAACGCCGTGGACAACGAGGGGAACAGCCCTCTGCACATCATCGTGCAGTACCACCGGCCCATCAGCGACTTCTTGACGTTGCACTCCATCATCATCAGCCTGGTGGAGGCCGGCGCCCACACGGACATGACCAACAAGCAGAAGAAAACCCCTCTGGATAAAAGTACCACCGGGGTGTCCGAAATCCTCCTTAAAACTCAAATGAAGCTGAGTCTCAAGTGCCTGGCTGCCCGCGCCGTGCGGATCTACAACATCAGCTACCAAAACCAGATCCCCAGAACTCTGGAGGAGTTTGTCCAGTTCCACTAGGCCGTGTCCAACCTTTCGTGGTGGTGCTATCCCGGGACGACACCAGACAGCAGAATACACCCGTGTCCATGAAGTTGTTTTTCTCCATTCCTTTGGTTTTGGGCTCCTCTGGATTCCGTCTGCGGCCTCAGTTCTCGGGTGGAGATGGTGGAGGGCGGGGGGCAGGAAAAGCCACATCGTTGTCCTGTAGTTGAATCCGATGTTTGAGATTTTGGTCCTTTTATGTTTTTGATTAAATGAATCCCTTCGTTAGCTCTTGGTTTTCTAAACGACACGAGAAGAATCCCCCAGGTAACTCCTGTCAAACGTTCCGTGTCCGACACGATTCGCACAATTGGATTTCAAACTCCTCGCAGTGAGGTGGGAAAAGAAAAATTGGGAATTCTGTGGTGGTTGGGTTAAAAGTGGAGTGTCCACCCCCAGAGCAGTGCGTTGCTCTCATACCTCACCGTGCTTTTATGCCTTTCAGCTCGTGCTGAAGATGTTGGTAACGTTTTAAAAGTTGTGTTTTAAATAAAAATTCACAGCTGCAGACGTGAGGGGTGCTCTGTTAGGAAATGCAGGTGGAAATTTGGCTCTGAGGGGCTGAATTCCATTATCAGGCTCTTCACTGACACTGCTCCAGTAAGTATTGAATAACCTATGGACAAAAACCCACTTCCACGCCGACCGAAAATAACCGGAATCATGGTTTCTTTTTCCGTAGCTCCGTCGCTCCTATCCAAACATCATGCATGGATCCCTAGAAACTGGGTAGGGAATTTGTGTTTGTGTGTGTCCCAACATTTCAAACTGCTTTGAACTTGGGTTTTTGTTCTGTTGTTTCGACGCTCAACACGCACCTTTTATTTGACTCAAAGTCTGTCCAGCTGCACTCTTGGATTCCAGATGCTGTATCTTCCTAACGGAGCCGTCTGCCGCCAAAGAGAGTCTTCCTTGAACGTGGCTTTTCCAAGAAGCGTTGGAGTCTGTGCCTCCCTGAATTGGACTCGAGGATTTTTCATGGTTTTTACTCCTTCCAGTAGGAAAATCTCTTCTTAAAACTGATTTTTAAAAAAAAAAACAAAAAAAAATTTCTCCTCTCATCAACCTCTTTGCTGATGAGTGAGTGATTGTACGGGGACGTTGTTGCTTGAGAACTTTGGGAGAAGTGGTGGATGCTCCGGCAGGAAAATGTCACTTGTTGGGACAAGGCTCCTGAACCCTCTGTTCCTTTCCCACGCAGCTTTTTAACCGTCAGGATGAACGAATGTTCCGTGGGTTTTTTTTTAAAAACAATCCAGGTAGAACTTTCGGGCGAGATTTGGGGCACACGTTTCTATTTGTATGACAAAGAAATAAACATTGAATGTGGAATTACCTTGGAATTCCTGTTTTTTGTCCAGGGTTTGTGTCCTTTGAGGGAAAGGCTTTAGGGTCAGGGTTAGGTTCTCTGGAGAAGCTGCCACATCCCTGGAATTGTCCAAAGGCCAGGTTGGAGCAGCCTGGGATAGTGGAAGGTGTCATTTTCCTGAGAATTCCAAAGTAACAATAAAAATTCCTGGCTGTTGATTCCAAAATACTTCCAAGCGGGGGAAGGTCTTTGCTGTGGAAAAGCTGCTCCTGCCTCCAGCCTATTCCTGGTTGTTATCCTGCTTCCTGCAGGTGAATTCCTGCTGCCTGGTGTCATGGAATGCTGTCCTGCCACCTTCCCCGTGTCACCAAGAGCTCTTGGCAAAGGATAGGGAATACCTGTGGGTGCAGCCTTGGGAATCCTGGGATCTTCTCCAGGATCTGGAATTTTCCTCCCAAGCATTAAACGCTGTGAGGTTCCCTTTGCTCTCCCTGTTATTTAAAGCCCCTGATAAAATTCCTTGGATCCTCCAGGTGCTGTTTTCCTTGGAAAAGCACGGAGTGAGATCCTGGGAAGAGCCGGGTGCTGCTGGGGGTTGGGATCTTGATGGAGCAGGATCAGAACTGGGAGAGGCAGAAATAAACCCGGCCTAGAAATAAACCCGGAGCTGAGCCAGGCCTTGGAATGCCGATCCCGCTGTCCTGAGGGCTCCAGAGGGACTGAGCCACCCAGGGATTGGGGACAATGCAATCCCACCCAGGGATTGGGGACAATGCAATCCCACCCAGGAATTTGGGACAATGCAATCCCAACCAGGAATTGGGGACAGCCGCCTCCAACCCTGCCCTTGCTGCTGCCAGCGGTGCCAATGGTCCTGGAAATCCGGGATTCCCAAATATTCCTTGGGAATGGCTGGGGAGGGGAGCAGGAACAGGGCAGGTGCACCCTGAGTGCCACGGAAATGTGGGAATTGTGTCCCGGAGTGTGCCCGGGTGTCCGTGGCAAGGGACGGGCACGGGGCACCAGGAGGGGGGAAATTCATAGATATAATTTTTTTATATATAAATATAAATATAAATATAAATATAAATATAAATATAAATATAACCACAAACACAACCATAAAATGATGTATATTATACAAAATGTATTAAAATATAAATATATAAATTATATGTAGATATAGAATATCTAAATAAATAAATAGAATAGAAAAATAATGAATAGAATAGAAAAAAATAAAAAATAGAATAGAAAATAATAAATAGAATAGAAAAAGTATAAAGTATTTATACTTTGTGTTTATGTATATACACACATTATATATATTTTTATGTATATACACACATTATACATATTTTTATGTATATATACACACATATATATACAGGTATATGCACACATATTTTATATGTACACATCTATATTCTATATGTGCACACACATCTATATTGTGATATAGAATTCTATATATAGAATACAGAATTTTTAAGTCTGAAAGTAAAATTATTTATAAATGTAGATGCACATAGAGCGTGTGTGTGTGTAGATATATGTATATCCATAGATATAAAACCACAAATATGTATAAAATATATGTGTGTGCACATATATTTTATATATAAGTAAATATATTTATATATAATATATATATATATCTGCCTGGTCTCCATCTCTTTCCTTCCGTGTGCCGGGATGCAGATCCTGGCAATGTGCGAGGGCGGGACCCTGTGTGATCCACCAGGTTGAATTCCCGAATTCCAGGGTTGGGCTCTCCGGCTTTCCCTGCACCCCAGCCGGACCCCTGAGCTCCCAGTCCATCAGAAACTGGGAAATGCAGAATTCCCACTCCAGCTGAGGATGGAATATCTCTTTTGGAAGGATTTTTTTTATCCCATTTTTTTTCCAAGTTGTTTCTCCCAAAGGCTTCACTTCAAACATCCTTGGAAAAACTCACATCCCTTAGAAATAAATGATGGAAAAATTCCAGGATCCATCCTGCCCTCAATGCCAGAGCCGCCCCCCTCAAATCCACAGAAAAAAAAAAGGAACAGACACCAGGAATTTTTAAAATACCGTATTTTTAATCCTTGAAAAATACCAGGAACAGTATTTCCCGAACCTCATCCCGCATCCAAAAAAATCCACTTCCCTCTTCTCCATAAAATTAATATTAGCATAAATAATTCCGCTATGCCGAGGGCGCGTTCCCGCCCCTAAAATTCCATGATTTCCATGGCACCAGCTATGTACAGGTATGATACATGTGGGCTCCCCAAACTGCTCTGCTGGGACAAAACTCATCAAACTGCTTTTGAATTCATTCTTTAAACGATTTTAAATTTTTTCAAAATTATGAAATTATTTCTTCAAAAAAATAAAAAAAAAGGCAGGGTCTTAAATTTTCCTCCCTCCTTTCCTTCCTGTTTTTAGAAGAATTATGTACAGCTGGACACCGGAGATTTAAGGTGCTTGAAATCACAAGAATTTCATTCAGTGCATTCAGACTAATTAACGCCTCCACTTAATTAACTTCTCTTAACGAAGGCAGTTTGAGAGCTGTGGCCAGCAGAGCCCGGGGCCTGCGACAGCTCCGCCACGGGAAGGAGCAACCCATGGGGGGGATTTTTGGGATAATATTATTATTTTAAGGAGTTTTCCAGCTCCACTTCAGGGACCCCTCACGTCGGTGTCCCCTCGTCCCCGCTGCTGCCACCTTGGTGAAATCCCAGTTGGAAGCACCTCCGAGGAGATTTTTGGGGAATTTTTGGTTGATTTGAGGGGCATTTTTATGGAATCCCAGTTGAAAGCACCTCCGAGGAGACTTTTGGGGAATTTTCAGTTGGTTTGAGGGGTTTTTTAATGGCTTCTAAGTGCTGTCCCACAAGGGGTGTTCTCTCGTCCTGCTGCAAAGCCAAGCTCAGCCCCCAAATCCCTCGGGATCCCGGGAATCTCCGGAGCTGGGAGGGGGCTCCTGGCCCCGGCAGAGTCACTCCATCCCGTGGGAATTCTGCTCCCGCTCGGCCGCTCGCCGGCGGCTCCCGCTCTTGAAGAACCCCAGCTGTGGGGAGGGAAGAGAAACAAAATCCCGCTGTTATTCCAGGAGCTTTTAACGGGATAGCAGCTGGAAGTTGGTCCTGGATATAATTTATAAATGGAAAAGGGGATTTTGGAGGCGGTTTTGAGGGTTTTTGGTGGTGTTGAGGAGCTCGTGGGGCGCGGGACACGGATCCAGAGGGTTCCTCCACGCATGGGAATCTCCAAAAATCCCCCAAAATGCACGGCCCGGGGGCTGCTCACCTTCCAGAGCGCCAGGACCAGCAGGGCCAGGAGCAGGAGGCCTCCGAAGGTGCTCCCAAGGATGATCCAGATGGGAATCTGCGATTCCTCGGGCTTGGAGATCTCAAACGTGATCTGGAGGAGAGAAAACACCGCGGATTCCGGGCAGGAATGGCAGGGAAAAGGGGATAGCGGGAATGCTGAGCAGCCCTTCCTTTGGGAATGCTGCACCAAGGATTTGGCTCAGTTTTCCCTGTGGAATCCGGAGATTCCAGGATCAAAGCTCAGCTCTGGCCACAGCTGCACCGAGTTTTTCCAGACCTGGGTCCCCCAACCCACAGGATTCTCCCAGTGGGATCAGGGCAAGGTGTGGCAGTGTCCCAAAATTCTGGGTCTCTCCATCCCCAGGGATTCTCCCAGTGGGATCAGGGTAGGGTGTGGCAGCATCCCAAAATTCTGGATCCCCCCATCCCTGGGCTGACCTGGCGGCTGGGATCCTCCTCCCGGAAAACGAAGGGGCTCCGGAAGCGCCGCTGGAGCGCGGCGATCGTGGTGAGCTTCAGTGCCTTGAACTTCAGCTGCACGGAGAGGGCTGGGATGAGCATTCCACGTGGAAAAGGAGCCCCCATTCCCAATGGGATCCATCCTGTCCCCATGGGCTTGATGAGCATCCCACATGGAAAAGGAGCCCCCATTCCCAACGGGATCCATCCCGTCCCCATGGGCTGGGATGAGCATCCCACGTGGAAAAGGAGCCCCCATTCCCAACGGGATCCATCCCATCCCCATGGGCTGGGATGACCATCTCACGTGGAAAAGGAGCCCTCATTCCCAACAGGATCCATCCCATGCCCTTGGCTTTGTATCCGTAGGGATTCTGGTTGGATTCACGGGAGAGGAGGATGCAGGGCAGGCAGGGAGTGGGGCAGAACGACGGCAAAAATGTTTTAGATTAATTAAATTTTCAGTAATTAATAAATTATGGAATTAAATAATCCATAATGAGGAGCTGTGGATGCACGATCCAATAGGATAAGTGGCTTTGGGAACAAAATCCACCCCATACATTCCTGGGGAAGGGAAAAATCCCACGTTTTTGGGGTGTGAGGGTTCCTTTGGGGGATTTCTCCCTGAAATCCACATTTTCTGGTGAGCACTCACTGCTTTCAGAGACTTCATCCACAGATTCCCACGCAAGTGCAGGTTCAGCTCCTCGTTGGGAGCCAGTTTCACCTCGCAGTCGATGGAAACCACGTCGGAGTTGCTGTGGTTCTGCAAAGGGAAATGTGGGATCATGGCTGGAGAAGGAGGGAAAATCCCACTGGGATTCATCCCCAGGGATGAATCCCACTGAGGCAGGGAAGATCCCATGTGTCCATCCTCCTGTGTGGTCAAATCCCCACATTCTTCAAATTTTCTCCCCCTTTTTCACCCCAAACTTCCCAGTTTTGCTGTGTTTTGTGCTATTCTTCCCCTCCAAGTTTTCCCTTGGGAAAAAAATGATCCCACTCTTTGTGAGCTGGAGAATCCCCTCACTTCCCATAAATCCTGAGTATTAACGGGGCTTAAATTGCAGTGGCTGAGAGGAAAAAATAAAAATAAACTGACCGAAGGGCTTAAAAATCTCCAAAAAATTCCACATGCATCCACGTGCCCCTCCCACATCCCTGTTCCAGATTTTTCCCTGTTTTGGGATATCCTGGAGCCAGGATTGGCCCCGAGGAGGCGAGTACCAGGTGTGGGGTGCGGGACAGGTCCTCCTCTGCCGGGGTTCTCCGGTAGTCAGTGGTGTTCCCCCAAATGCTGCAGGTCGTGTTTTCCTGTGGGAGAGGCTGATGGAATTCCAGCATGGACACAGGATCGTGGCAGTGGCTTCCCCGTGCCCCCATCCCGATGGAATCAGGGATCCCCAGCACCCCCCAGGATTTGCTGCAGCTGGGATTGAGTTTGGCTCGCTGTGGGACGTGGCTGGAGGGCTGGGATCCCATCCGAAACCGGGCTGGAATCCCATCCTAAACCGGGCTGGAATTCCATCATAAACTGGGACAGAATTCCATCCTAAACCATACTGGAATCCCATTCTAAACCAGGGCTGAATCCCATCATAAACTGGGACAGAATCCCATCCTAAACCAGGCTGGAATTCCAGCCTAAACCATGTGGAATCCCACCCTAAACTGGGACAGAATTCCATGCTGGAATCCCACCCTAAACCGCGACAGAATCTCATCCTAAACTGGGCTGGAATTCCATCCTAAACCATGCTGCAATCCCATCCTAATCCATGCTGGAATCCCATCCTAAACCGGAATCCCATCCTACCTGGTCTGCCCGGAATTCCGTGGGCAGCAGGAGCCGGTTGCCTGCCCGGGTGGCCACGGGCACGGTGATCTTTAGGGTCACCCCTTGCACTGGGAAGAATCCCAGGTTCTGCAGCTGCCAGGGAAGAGCACAGGGATGTGTTGGGATCGGGGGACGGGGATCCCTGCTCCCGGGGCAGATCCCAAATCCAGGAGAACTCAGGGATCCAGCTCCTGCTCACCGTGAAGGTGCAGTGGAAGGGGGGCCCAATGGGGTTGGATCCATCCAGGGAATTGTTGGATCTGATCTCAAAATAGTCCAGGCTCGATGTCCTGTGGGACAAAGGGTGACAAAGAGGTTTGTAGGATTTTCCCTTTTCTTTGTAGGATTTTCCCTTTCTTTGCAGGACTTTCCCCTTTCTTTATAGGATTTTCCCTTTCCTTATAGGATTTTCTCGCCTCTTTAATAAAGCAGAGCCTCCCCAGGCCCCAGCTGAGGTTTGGATGTCACAGAAGGTAAATCAATCCCTGTTTTGCAGCTGGAAAGGTGGGAAAAGAGCCAGGAATACCCTGTGGGAACCCATTCGGGAGCACCTGTGATGGCCCCAAATCCTCACATTTTTTCAAATTCTTTCCCTCCTTTTCCACTCCAAAATTCCCAAATTTGATATTTTCTGTGCTCTTCTTTCCCTCCAGGTTTTCTCTTCATTACGAACTGGAGAATCCCCTCACTCCCCATAAATCCTAAATATTAAAGGAATTTTATTCGTGGTGTCTGAGTAAAAAATATAAAATGACCAAAGGGCTGAAAAATCCCCAAAAGATTCCAGCAAGCAGTGCCAGGGAATGTGCTTTGGGATCCCTGATTTTCCCATCAGCAGCTTCCTAAATTATCTCTGCCTTCATCCCTGGCTGTCCCAGACTTGAATTCCCGGTGATTCCACGCTCGTCCCACAGCTGAGCTTCCCTCCGATGGTTTTGTGGGATGGCCACTGGCCCAGACACCGGGAACACCTGTTATGGCCATTATTACCTCCAAGAAGTCAAAGCAGGATTTTATTCTGGGATTTTTATTGTTAAAATGATTCGGAGGGAGGTGTCGCCCCCAGCAGCTTAAAGTGGTGCTCTAATAATTGGTGAATTAAAAAAATTAATAATTTAGTTAATTGAATTATTTATTAATAATTTAATAGTATTACATTTATTTAATTTCCCCCTTTCTTTGTAGGATTTTCCCTTTCCTCATAGGATTTCCCCCCTTTCTTTGTAGGATTTTCCCCCTTCCTTATAGGATTTCCCCTTTTTTTGCAGGATTTCCCACATTTCCCTGTGGAAATCTTTACCTGTGCAGGAATGGGGAGTAAGGAGAACTTTGTAAAATTATTAGGAGATATTTTTCCTGGAAATATTTGCGGTGGGAACATGGATGAGAAAGCAACAGTGGCTGGAGATCCAGCAGAGCCCGGCAGCTTCCACAGGCATGGAAAAATCATGGATGTAAATCCCCAGATAAATAAAAATAGCCAGGTTTGGGAGCACGGGGCTGGGATAACCCACAGCAACTGGATCTCCGTGGGGTTATGCCATGGAAAACCTCTGGCTCTGGAGAAAGGAATCCCAAGGAATGCTGGCTACATCCTGGGGTGCCCAGAGAAGCTCCCTGGAACCCAAGTCCAGGGTTGGACACCCTGGGATCAGGGAAGGGGTGGGACTGGATGGGCTATTTTTCCAGCCCAAACCATCATGATTCCGTGATTCCAGAGAGAGAAAGCATCCCCAGACCTGCTGGCAACCATGTAGACCTCCATGCTCTGCAGGAAGACGGACTTGCTGAATTCAAAATCCAGGCGGAAAGCGACCTGTGGAGAAGGGAAAAACACTGGGAAAAACATTGGGAAAAACATCCCAGGGAACAAAATCCCGAGTGCTGAGCGGGGCCAGTGAGAGACCCTGCAGGAGACACAATTTCCAATCCCACCAGGACTGAGCAGAGCCTTTCCAGGCAGTGAGGATTTGCAGGAATTCTCTCAGCCCCTGCCATGGGAGCAACGAGCGGCTCCCTTTGGAAGCAGATCCCTCCAGAGGCCCGGGATCGGCGGGAAGGGGAGGCAGCTGGAGAGAGCCAAAACCAATAAAACGGGATAAATGTGATAAATGTCACATCTGCAGTGACCTCAAACCGTCTGGGCCGGCACAGCTGACTGGAATATTAAAGCTCCCGCAGCTCCAGAGCCAAAATTCCATTTCCAGCCTGTCTTTGTTTTGGCAGGAGCGGCACTACCTGATGGCCCATGGACACATTCCCGACCCCGTAGGTCATGGGGAGCCAGCTCCTCGTGCAGCCACAGGCATCCCACTGGGATTTTTGGGAGCTTCAAAGCCGAGCCTGGTGCCTGAGGCTCATCCATCATAATCCAGGAAAGGTTTCAGACGGATACAGGAGCTGGGGAGATTTTATTTCCAGATCCCGCTTGTGTTGGTCCCTTTTCCCACGGGTGGCAGGTGGGATTCCATGCAGATCCTAAGTGGATCTCCTCACTATTCCTTTCCCAAATGAACCCTGAATTTGATGTTTCCCAAGGGTTTATGGTTTATAAAAATGATAAACTGGATCTGGGCTCATTCCAAATACTGGGAACACTGGTTTGGAGGATGCCACCACCTGGGGGAGCTTGGACTGGCTCTGAGCCAGGTATCCAGAGGCACTTCAGAGCAAGGAAAATCTCTCAGGCAGGGAAGGAGCCTCATCCTGCAGGGAATCAGCTCAGAAAAGTTCCCATCCGTGGTTTGAAGCCCACATTAAATTTTTCCACCAAATTGAAGGCAAATTCTGTCACCTGGAGGAGCTGGGTTGGATTCTGGGGCTCTCCTGAGGATCCCAACCATCCCAGCTTTCCTAAGATGCCTTTCGAACTCCAAAAGGGGCGAAACCAAAAGTTTATCTTCAAAATCCTGCTCAGGGCTGCCCAGATGTGACCCTGGGGCCAGAAGGTCCATGTGACAGTAGAGTGGGAATTTGGGAATGTCCTACCTTGGCCTTGGCTCGGAAGAAGGGGTAGCTGACGTTGCACACCCTCCTGGTGGGGTGTCTGTCGTCACTGGCGCAGTCGATGTTGATGTCGGTGTCGTCCTGAAATGGAACACAAAGTCCTGCCCATGGAGTGTCTGGGACACAGGGAATGAGCCCCAGGAATCGGCTCTTTGGGAAACTGGGAACACCTAGGGGCTCAAAACGAGCCTTGGCTTTGGGGAAACAACCAGCCAATCGCCAACCAATGGCCTACCAATGGCCAACCAAATAATGGCCAACCAGTGGACAATCAACCAATGGCCAACCAACCAAAACCCAACCAACCAATGACAAGAACCAATGACCAACCAACCAACAACTATCAACCAATGGCCAACCAACCAAAATCCAACCAACCACTGACCAACCAGCCAATGACCAACCAATTGACAACCAACAACCAAAACCCAACCAACCAATGACAAGAACCAATGACCAACCAACCAACAACCAAAACCCAACCAATGACCAACCAATGAATTACCAAAACCCAACCAAAACCCAACCAACCAACGACAAGAACCAATGACCAACCAACTAACCAATAACCAAACAACACCAACCAATGACCAACCAATGAATTACCAAAACACAACCAAAACCCAACCAACCAATGACCAAAACCCAACCAAGATCCAATCAATCATTGGCCAACAAACTAATGAATGAAGGAAGGATACAACCACCAACCAGCCACCAACCAAAATCCAACCAAAGGACCGTGCAAGCAACCAGCCAGTCATCCAACCCACCCTGCTCGCTGGAGCTGGGAATCCTTCCCATGCATTTGTTGATGTTCCTGGAAAGGAGCATCTCTAGGGAGCAACTCCCATTTTCCTGATGTAAATCCTCTTTATGAATTTAATTACATGGGTGAAGAATTTAACTGTGGTGAATGAATGAACCTGATTATTCCTGGCATTCCTGATTTTTCTGCGATGAGGAATTGTTGGGAAGCACTGAGAGACAACATGAGCTGTTATCCTGCATGGCCACCAGCTAAGCTGGAATTCATTCATGTCAACACCAATATTCCTGCTGCTGGAACACCTTCCGCCTCTCCAGCCAGGCTGGAGAAGGTCCTGCCCATTGCAGAGCTGGGATGGGATGGGATGGGACACCAACCCTGTTCTGTCTCCTCCACAACCCTTCCAGATGTTGTAGCCCGCTTGTAGGCAGGTGTCCATCCTCACCATGAGAGGATGAGCTATTCCAGCTTTTATCCCACAAGGGGTCAGTTGAGCTGTTGCCACTGGAAAAATCCTATCCAGCAGCCAGACTATCCCAACACTAGCCACCAGCAACAGCCTGGAGCTTCCTCCCACTCATCTGCTGAAATTATGGACTTTTTGGGGCCACAGCCAGTTTTTATTTATAAGACACAGATATCTATCCCCTCTGGATGCTCCTTGATAAGGAGGGACATCCAGGAGCCTGTTATCCGTGACTCCTCCATGACCAGCTGCAAATATTCCCTACAATCACTGCTGCCTGGTGCTTTCTGTTCCCCACCCTCCCAGGGATTTTCCCTGCTCCCCTCACTTCGTTTAGAATAATCTCCAAAAAATGCATTTTTCTTATTTTGTGGGCAGCAAGCCCCACAATTTTCCCTTGGCACGGCTCGGAGAAAAACAAAGGAGATGGGATCTGCGGGCGGGGATGAAGTCATGGGGGGGTGAGGGAAGGCTCAGCAGCATCAGCACATTCCCAAATCTCACTGGGAACAGGGAGGAGTCGCACCAAGATCGAGTGAGTGGGGCAGTGACATTTTGGGGACACTGGGGGACCATCCAGGGAAAGCCATGAAGAGGCGGCATCGCCCGGCTCGGTGCTGAGCTGTGGCCACATTCCCATGATCAGCTCCTACTTCCAAAGTTATTTCTCAGCTGCAAAAACTCGTTCCTGACGGGAACTTGGCCATGTGCAGGGAGTATTTTTAAACAACTGCAGGAGAAAAATAGAGGGAAATAATTTCCTCTGTGTTTGACCTTCGCTCAGGCTCTTAAAACTCAAACGTTTTTGTATTTCCAAAATAAAGAGCTGGAAGTGCTTAGAAACAGAGCCCATAAACAGCCCTGATTTATGAGGGATGGAGACAGATTTGGGCTCTGCTTTAGGCTGCAGCTTTCTCGTCCGGCCGGGATTAGCAGCACCTCTGGAAAAGCCTGGATCTCCCCCGGGAGCTCACCTTGGTGATCAAGCTGGCCAGCTGCAGGTTCCTGGAGAAGGAGATGTTGAGGACAGTGCTGTAGGCGTTCTCCCCGCGGTTTTCCAGCGTGGCTTCCACGGCCACTCTTCTCCTGGTGCTCTCGATGACGAAGACGGAGGCGTCGAAGGAGAGGCTGAAGGCCGAGCAGTCCCCCCTCCGCAGCGCCCTCCGGCAGAATTCCCTGCAAAAAGAGGCATTCCCGGGATTTTATGACCATGGAAATCCCTGCTCTCCCTCTGTCCTGCTGTGCTGAAAGCAGAATTGTGGATTTGTCCTATTGTCCATAATTTGGGGGTTTTTGGCCAGTGGTGTGACGCTTTCTCAAACATTACGAGGAATGCTCGGGACAGCTGGGATGTAGGGAAAAATCAGATCCCCTGCCAAAAGCAAAGGTGGCTCCAAGCTCCAATGTCCAACCTGGCCTTGGACACTTCCAGGGGAAGCCACAGCTTCTCTGGGAATTCCATCCCAGCCCCTGCCCACCCTCACAGGGAACAATTCTTTCCCAATATCCCATTGATCCCTCTTTCACTTAAAGCCATTCCCTGTGTCCTGTCCCTCCATCCCTTGTCCCCAGCCCCTCTCCAGCTCTCCTGGAGCCCCTTTAGGCTCTGGAAGGGCTCTGAGCTCTCCCTGGATCCTTCTCTTCTCCAGGTGGACATTCCCAGTTCTCCTAGCCTGGCTCCAGAGGGGCTCCAGCCCTCGGAGCAGCTCCGGGGCCTCCTGTGGATGCAGGGATAACCTTTAATAGCTCTGTAACCACGGAGCTGCAGTGTGGAATTATTTCCATGAGTCAAGCCTGTAATTGCCAGGTGGGTAATGCCAGCCTTGCAGTTATTCCCTGGTATTTCCTGATTTGTATCCCTGGAACTCATCACCATGGCACCAAATATTCGCTGGCTTGTGGATTCCCCAAAAAAACACGGATTCCTTCCAGGCAGGGAGCAGGGGGAGGATCAGAAGTGCCAAGAGCACCTCATGGAGGGCTTGGATCATCCTTGTGGTGATGCTGGATGAAGGGCCAGTGATGTCAGAATTCACAGAACGCAGACTGGGGCTGGATTTTTGGAGCCTCCCCCAGCTGGTGACACTCTTGGAGGATGCTCCGGGTCACCTACTCACATGGCACTGGGAATGTCACTTCTGGCATCCAGCACCAGATCGGGGACACAGTGCTCGTCCTCGTTGCAGCCATTCCAGAAGGGGACCTGAGGGGACAATGACAGCAGCTCGGTGACGGTTCTTCCAGGGATAAATCCGCCCTGGTGCCCTGGGAGGTGGCATTTTGAGAGGTGACACTTTGGGAGGTAGAACTCTGGGAGGCGGCACTTTGGGAGGCGGCACCTGGGATGCAGAACTTTGGGAGGTAGCACTTGGGGAGGTGGCACCAGGGAGGTGACACCAGGGATGTGACACTTGGGGACGTGTCAGCTGCTACCTACAGAGACCCTGAGCGAGGTGGGCCACCCATCGTCCAGCATGGGGCCGTGCTCGGGATGCTCCAGCTCGTAGTCGATGGAGAACGTCACCGGCTTCACGTAATCCGCCGTGTCCTGTGGCACATGGAAAACATTGAGAGGAGCCCAGGGCTGCCCGGGCTGGGGCAGCACCTCAGGGTGTCCCCAGAGGTCACAGATCTGTCCCGCAGCCCCAGCCCAGGGCTGGGATCAAACAGAAAACAGATCCCATCTCCAAGGTTGGTCCAAGCCCCATCCAACCTGGCCTTGGATGCTTCCAGGGATCCAGGGGCAGCCGCAGCTCCTCTGGGAATTCCATCCCAGACAGGAATTCCTTGCCAATATCCCACCTAACCCTGCCCTCTGGAAGCCCCTAGGAGCTCCTCCTGTGCCTAGCCCCCGGGTGCAGAGGCATGCTCTGAAGGGAGATGTTTTTTTTGGGCTAAATCACTAGCTCCAGCTCCATCTCCAGCCTCAAATTTCCCAAAAGTTCACGGCAGTTCAGCCGGGGCTTGGGGCTGGGCCAGTCTGGCAGCTCAGGCCTGTCTGGCTTCCATGAAATTCTCCTCATTCCCTGGGAATGTTTGGGTTTGGCCAGGTTTGTGCATCAGCTGTTCCCTGCAAACGAGGGATCCACCAGCTCTGCACCCCGGGGTGGGACCTGCTGGGCCAGAGGGGGACAGCCCCAGGGACTGGCACGGGGACGCTCCATTCCCCATGGAAAAACAACAAGCATTCCTGATTTTGGAGCAGGAAGAGCAGCCTGACCCTGGGATGAGGAGCTCACGCCCTCCCCGAGGACACGGCTGGTGGGACGGAGCACGTGGAAGCTGCAGTGATGTCACTGCTTGGGGACCCAGCAGCTGCCACGCGCTGGCAGCTCCATCCCGGACCACATCAAACCGGCGGGGAGCAATCCAGCGGGATGAATCCAGCGGGATGAGGCTCACTCCCAGCCCGGGAAGCCACCCGAGGGATGCTGGAGAGGACATCTCCTGGTGCACACTCACCAGGACGTGGAAGGGGAGGGTGTGGCAGAGCTCCTGCCCGGCGGGCAGCACCAGCCCCCGCGGCGCCGCCCGCTCCCCGCCGTCGTCCAGGTGCGCCCGGGGCGAGTAGCGGCGCTCGTCGATGGTCGTGTTGTACCTGAGCCCTGCAAGGACAGGCCCAGCTCAGGCCTTGGGGCCAAAAACCTGGGAAAAGAGTGGCCCCAGTGCCCATTCCCTGCTGAGGGAAATCCAGGGAAATCCCAGGCAGTTCTGGGAAAAGCTTCCCTTCTGCAGATGAGGAGTTTTGGGGATTAATTGTTGCAAGACCCTGGGTAAAATCTGTGCAGGTGTGGAATTTTTTGCCTCTCAAATGTTCCCGTGCTGGTCTGGAGGAATTGGAGCTCACCCCTCACCTGGATGATTTATGGAGATCCTTTGGTTCCTGCACTGTTGCTGGAAAGCCACTGGAGATTCCCAACCAGCAGGGATTTCAGACAACCACAGAATCTCAGAATGGCTTGGGAAGGGACCTAAAATCTCATCTCACTGCAGCCCCTGCCATGGCAGGGACACCTTCCACTGTCCCAGGGGCTCCAAGCCCTGTCCAGCCTGGCCTTGGACACTTCCAGGGGCAGCCACAGTTTCTCTGGGAATTCCATCCCTGCCCCTCCTTACCCTCATAGGGCACAATTCCTTCCCAGCATCCCATCTGTCCCTCTTTCAGCTTAAAGCCATTCCCTGTGTCCTGTCCCTCCATGCCTTGTCCCCAGTCCCTCTCCAGCTCTCCTGGAGCCCCTTTAGGCCCTGGGAGGGGCTCTGAGGTTTCTCTGGATTCTTCTCTTTTCCTGGCTGGACACCCTCAGCTCTCCCAGCCTGGCTCCAGAGCAGAGGGGCTCATCCAGGGGGCAACTCTTTATTTCCAGAGGAAATAAAGGTAAAATCAAATAAATAAGGAAATCCCACTCAGATTTTATCCCACAGGGACAGCAGCAGGGAGAAAAACGCTGGATTTGACAGCACAAAACAAAACTCTTGCTCTGGGCGCTGGGAGTTTTTCCCTTGGCTCTGGATCCTGATTTTCCTTGGACAGTGTTTGCTGCTGGCTTGCAGGGGCTGAGCCGCTATCGCTTCCCTGCTCTGCTGACTCCCGGGAATCCGCCGGGGATCACTCGGGGTCACGGCACCATCCAAGGGTTTAACAGCAGGGCTGGCCAGCTCCACAGATTCCCTGGGATGTTGTGGAAAATGCACATCTGGCCGGCAGATGTGTCCCGCTGCTGCGGGAGGCGGGAGGGATGGATGAGCCCTGCGGAACGCGGGCCGGGCACGTCCTGCTGCAGGGACATTCCCGTCACACGGAGCATGGAAAGGCAAATCCCAGGAGAGCCCAGCCCAGGGAATAGGTGAGGGATGAGGTGGGATTTATCCTGGGGGTGTTTCTTTGGCAGAATCGTCACCAGAACCTGGAGACTCGGCCGGGATAGGGACAAACGTGAGTGACACGTGACGGACACATGAGCTCCTCCAAGCTCCTGGGTGGTTTCCATCCCAAAATCTGGGTTTTCCATGGGGCTGGAGACCTGAGCAGGGCAGGAATTGGGATTTTCTCCTCACCCACGCTGGCAGTCTGGAAGTGAGTGGAGAGGAAGAGGGCGGTGAAGCAGACGAAGGCCCTCATGCAGGTGGCCTCCTTCCCGTTGCGCCTGCAGTCCTTGGTGAAGATGTTGATCTTGGGCGGCTCGAAGCGGAGGCTGGCGTTGATCTGGACCACGCTGCGGGACCTGTGGGGTGGGGAGAGGCATGGGATGGGCTCTGGCTCAGGATGGGACATCCTGGAATCTCCCACAGCTCCAGGTTTGCCTTTTTCACTCCTTTTCCCTCCTTTTTGGAGAAGGTTGGGGAGACCAAAAGTGCTCTCCAAGCAGAGCCCAGGGTGACCTGTCTTGGCTGGGCACAGCCACCCCCCATCCCAACAGCTTCAAGGGACTCTCCAAACATTAATTAATATTTAAAAATAATGCTCTAATTAAACCAGACCAGAAGGAGCCTGGGCAAATCCCCACAAATGAATTTGGAACTTCTGGAGAACTACAGATGAAACTCAATGGCAAATGAACTCTGGCATCTTTTTAGGGCACAACGGGATTGAGATCCCACAGCCCCGTTAGACAGGGGGTGGTTATCAGGAAAGATGGCTCAGATTGTTGGGAGATTGGTTTTTCCTGGAAAAATTTTGGCACAATTTGGGCAGAGGAAAGGAGGAGAGGGCACCAAGGATCCCTGGCTCACCACAGCACCACGGCGTTCCCCAACGAGCCCACAGCCAAGTCCACGAGTCCGTCCTCGTTCAGATCCAGCTGCCCGTGGATGCTGCATCCAAAATACATCAGGCCCGGAGCGAGGTCGGCGGCCGCGATCCGCTGGAAAGGAATGGGAGCAATCCAGGCTGGATTCCAGCAGGAGCATCCCTGCCTGCCAAGGGTTTGCCAGGCTGACTCCGCCCCATCGCTGAAAATTCCCCGTTCCAAGAGGTTCTGCTAAACATGGTTTTCCAGGGAATTTCTCTTTGGAAAAGAGAAAGCATTTGCTTCGAAAGCAATTTCTCTTTGGAGGCACCATCCAAGATTTGTACTGGATTTACCCTGCATATTTAACATTTATCAAAAGTGTAATAAATAAATAAATAAAATGTAAAAAAATTAATTAAAAAATATAATTAATTAATCTATAACAAGCCCTTGCAATGAATGCTAAACATTGCCTCTAATTTCAAGCCTTTTCCCCCACTGTTCCATGGAGTAATTCAGGTTGGAAAAGCCATCCAACATTGTGGAGTCCAACCATCCCTTGGCGCTGCCAAGGCCACCACAAAATGTCCCCAAATGCCACATCCACACATCTTAAATCCCAGCAGGGATGGGGACTCCATCACTGCTGCTCCAATGCTTGAATTCCAACATTTTGCCTTGGATGCCTCAATAGAGGAACTATCCGGCCGTAATAATTAACAATTTAATCCCGGGTGTGGATTCGTCCTGCTCCATCAGTCCTTAAAACAGGGACAAATTATATTTATTCCCATGAAAGACAAGGAAAACCAAGCACAGGGAAGCCCCACCTGCTTGTATTTCTTGAGGATGGTCTCCTGGAATCCAAGGAAAATGTAAATGGCTCCTTGGTGCTCGTCCTCCAGAGGGGCCCCGACCACCAGGTCGTTGTAGGAGTCCTGGTTGAGGTCGGGAACGGCGGCGATGCAGGAGCCGAAACGGGAATTCTGGTAACTCTGGAGGTCCACCAGGGCGCCGCTGGGAACGAAGAGGTTCTGCCAAGGAAAAAAAGGAAGGAAGACAATTCCCAAAGCATCAGCAGCAAGGCTGGAAAGAGAAGAAAGCCTCAAGTGAACAGTGCAGTGATGTGGGAGGGATTTTCCAAGGAAGGAGGTGGGAGCGTTCCCAGGGATGGCGGATTTTGGAGCACATCCCTGGGGAATGAGGAGCCCTGAGCCCTGCCTGAGCCAGCCCCACATCTGCTTTGCACCCTACATAAATAATTCAATGATGATGATGATGATGACATTAATAATAATTCTATAGTAATAATAATTCTATAGTAATAACAATTCTATAGTAATAATAATAATAACAACAATTCTATAGTATTAATAATAATTCTATAGTAATAATAATAATAATTCTATAGTAATAATAACTTCCATAATAAAGACAAATTCCATAATAATAAATATTCCATACTAATTCCATGCAAGATCACCGAAAATTGGGGATTTGGTGTTTTTTTCTTCATCATTCCAACTGGGGGAATCCCTCATCCAGAGCAACTTCCACAGGGAAGCACCTTCAGGCACTGGAAGGGGTTCTGAGCTCTCCCTGGAGGGAGCGGGTTTGGAGGACGCCGCATGGCTTGGCGATGGTTTCTCCAGAGGGACATCCACATTCCCACGTGGCAAAGATCCCATCCCACCCCTCCCTTGAGACCCCACCAGGGCACACAGCTGCCACGGGAGCAGCCAAATGTTCCCTCGATGTCCCCGGGCGCCACTCACCCCCTGCAGGGCGTACACGTAGACCTTGCCCCTCTCCCTGCCCTCGCTGAAGAACATGGGCGCGCCCACCAGCAGCACGTCGGTGACGCCGTCGCCGTTCACGTCCAGGGAGTTGATCTCGCTGCCGTAGTAGGAGCCGATCTGGGGCAGACAGGACGGCGTGGGGATGATGCCACCATCCCTCTGGGATGCACAGGGACATCCCACCCCTGCCACAGCCACGCTGAGGATGCAGCCACAACCGGCTCTCTTGGGCTGGCAATGGGGTGTGGGTTCCATCCCCGTCTGTCAGAGCTGGGCAGTTCTCTCTGTCCATGGGGCAGTTTTCTTATTGTATTCTGACTCTGGCAGTGGTTTGTTTACTTTTTTGTACTATTGCATTTGTATTTTTAATTGTCCTAGTAAAAAACTGTTATTCCTACTCCCATATCTTTGCCTAAGAGCCCCTTAATTTCCAAATTATAATAATTCAGAGGGAGAGAGGTTACATTTTCCATTTCAGGGGAGGCTCCTGCCTTCCTTAGCAGACACCTGTCTTTCCAAACCAAGACACTGGCACATCCACGGCTGTGCGGCACTGCCAAGCTGTTCCAACTCGGGAAAACCAAGGGAGAGGGTTGATTTTTCCACGGGCGAAAAGCGGCATGGCATTCCCAGCTGGAACTACCTGCTCTCCCTTGAGGGCCTGGTGGATGGTGAGGTTCCTGTTGCTGTGCATGTTGAACAGGATGACCTTGCCGGTGTGGTTGAACCGCGGCGCTCCCGCCACGTAGATCCGCTCGTGCCTGGTGGAGACGACGGAGGAGACGGTGTAACCTGGAGAGGGATGGACACAGAGTGAGAACTCCCTGCCTGCTCCCAGGGTCTGCTTTCCATTAGCCCCCAGCTGCTGACACAGCTCTGGCTGCTTTCCAAAAAGGGAAGCTTAAAAACTGGGATTTTTGCAAAGATGAAATCACCCAGAGGGACCCCAGTGCCTCTGAGCCGCCCGCTCCGGTGCTGCTGCGGCCGGGGCTGTGCCGGGAGTTTTGGCACTGCCTGATTCCCTCTTCCTGTGCAAATCCTTCTTCTATCGAAGGTGAATCCAATTCCTGCAATTCCAGGACTTCTGGCTGTTTTATTTCATGGCTCACATTAAGTTGGACAGACACTCGTGAGGTGCTGAGTGTTGGGAAGTTGCGGCTCCCGCTGCTCCAGGAACACCAGGCAGGAAAAGCTTTCCTGGTGCTAGATGTCAACATTCCCAGTCCAATAAAAGCCATGAATCCATCAAAACCATTCCTCCTGATGGAAATAACCCTGCCTAAGCCAATGACCCTGAGCAATCCCTTTTTTCCTACTGGGATCACCCCCTGGGCTGCGGCACTTCCATGGCTGCAGATGGGATTTTGTAGGAATATAAAGCTGGGGCTGCCAAATCCCAATTTTCAACCCCAAGTTCAGGTTCCTGAACCTTCAGGCTCGGGTTTAAATTCCAATGAAATCCTTAGAAGTGGAACAGGGTGCCCAGAGAAGCTGTGGCTGCCGCATCCCTGGAATGTTCCAATCTCAGGCTGGATGGGGCATGGAGAAACCTGGGATAGGGGATGAGCTTTAAGTTCCTTTCCAACCCAAATCATTCCAGAATTCTGGGATTCTATGGAACTCAAAGTCTGGCCAATCATGAAACTGAATCACATTCCTTGGAATCACATCCAGTTAAATTTTGAGTATCTTCAGGGATTTTTGGTCTCTTCCCTGCTCACCAGCCTTACCTGGGTTCCCTCTTTCCCTAAAAATGCCCCTCCTGCAGGGATATTCCTAAACCCAGCATCGGCCCTGAGCCCCCCAGGCTGCTCCTCAGCAGGATACACCAGCATTCCTTAAAATTCCCAGATTTCTCACTGCAGGCAGTGGGAAAGAGAGCCCAGTTGAGCTCCCACAGGGATTCCCATGGGACACCCACAGCTCAGGGGACACTCTGCTGTCACCCCACGGATGAACCACGTGTCCCCATTCCCAGGGAAGAGCCTGGAGGCGCTGATCCCACAGAATTCCACCTCTCTCCCTGCCACGGGACAGCCACATCTCCGAGGAGAGGCTGCGTTTCGCCATCCAGGCTGATATTTTTATTCCAGAGCTCCAGTGGCTGCACATGGAATGGATTAACCCAGCAGGTATTTCCTGCCTAGGCATGAAATTCCATCGGTGCTTTGAAACCACTCCAAGAAAAGCTGCGGATAACCCGCCGGCTTGGCTGCTCCTGAATTTAAATCTCATTTGTGCCCCGCTCCGGGGTCGGAGCCGGGCTCTTCCCAGGTGAGGATGCTCCTGTGCTGCATCCCACAGCTCTCCCATGAGGAATACCCCATGCTTCCTCTTTTTTAAGGATAAAATCCCGAATTCCCCCCTGCGGCAGCACGGCCTCCTTCAGCTTTCCCACCTAAATAGGCTCCGTGGTTTTTCAGCTCCTCCGGGAATTCCTGCAGGTAGGATTCCCGCAGAGGAATGACCTTCCCGCTGCTGGTCTCCTTCAGCACGGCTCCGTTCCAGTCGTAGGCTCCCACTGCTCCCAGCAGGATCCCGTCCTGTGGGAAAACGGGAGCGGTTTGATGGGATTTCTTCCCAAGTGGAGGCGATTCCATCCCTCTGATCCCGCACAGACCGCTCTTCCAAAAACACCTGGAATGCTGGAGGGTTTTAAAACTGCTGGAATGACACTTCCACCCTATTCCTGTTTTTCCAATGTGGTTTTTCTCCCCAGGAAATTCCCAAGAGCTTTTTCCATGGACATACCAGCATGTCCTTCCCAAGAGGTCGTGGCACTGGGAGGATCTGCTGCGGATCCTAAGGGATGCTCACATCTCCCAGCACCTCCCTTACCCATGGGATAATCCAGCAGCATTTCCTTATCCTCATGTTAATTATTTAACTCTGTAATTAATAATTTGTCCCAAATCCCAATCTCCCACCTGGAGCTGGGGGTGATAAACAGGACAAGGCAGGAGCAAAAAAATGCCCACATTTCCTCTCTTACTTCCACAACGTGGGATGAAAATCCAGTCTGGGACATTTCCAGTCCAAAGGAGATCTCGTTCTTGTTGGTTCCTTTAAAAAAAAAGAAAAAAAAAAGGGAATTTGTGTTTAGTGGAGAGTTTTGCTTTCTTGGAACAGTTCCGTGGCCTCCTCTGGAATTGCTCCAGCAGCTCCACATCCTCCTGATGATCCCATTTCTCCCTAAATCCCCCCAGTTCCACAACCTCATGCTGTTAGGAGGTCTGGGAGCTCAGCTGGGGCGCAGCTTCTCCCCCTGCAGAGCTGCAAGATCACCCAAAACTGGGGATTTGGAGGTTTTTGCTTTGCAATTCCAACTGGGGGAATTCCTCATCCAGGAAAACTTCCACAAGAAAGCGCCAGGCTGGACAGAGAAAACTGGGAAACTCGTGGGGAATTTGTGAGCTGGTTTGAGCCAAAATCCCCCAAATTCAAGACGTTTCATTCCCGCTGCGGGCCCTCCATCTTCTGTTCCAATTGTTCATTCCAGGCTGCATTTTTCCTCTGAAATTCGGATAAATTTAGTTTGGGAGAGCAACAAAGTTGTCACAAGAGCTGACATTTAAGACAAAAATATTTCCTGATATTTCATTTCAGCCAATAAACCTGAAATCCCAGCATTATTCCCATAATCTCCCGGTGTCTGGCACCCCAGGAAGCTCCTGTGTGTGGGTTTTCCTGATTACAGCCCTGGAATTTGATGGATGAGGAAGACACTGACACCCAAATTCCCCCCATACCAAATCTCCGAGGTTTTCTATAAAAAGGAAAAATCAAAGCCACCAGAATTCCGCTGGCCGGAATGAGGTGTGTCCTTTGGAAAAGGGATCTCTGCTCCCGATATCTGAGGGACGCAACTGCTCCAAATAAAGACATTTCCTCAAATATGAAGATACTCCAAGCAGGATTTTAGGCTCAGATATTGCGTAAAGCCTCGTCCAAATTTGGGGAAAAAAAAAGGATCAGCAACACATTCCCAGCTCTGGGATGTGCCAGGGAGGAGCATCCCTCACCTTCCAGGCTGAAAATCCTTTCTCCCAGAGCATCCACGATGTCCTTGAGCGCCGCCTCGTCGGTGACGTTGAAGAAGTGTTTGTCATCGGGGTCGCTGGCGATGAATTTGATCTCGTTCAGAAAGGCCTCGGGGTTGATCCCTCTCCTGTTGTAATAACCCAAGACCTGGTTGGGAATAAAATGCGAGACTTCTATGGAATTAGAATTCCCGGGTGGTTTGGGTTGGGAAGGGTCTTAAAGCTCATCCCATTCCATGGGCAGGGACAGCTTCCTCTACCCCAGGCCGCTCCAAGCCCTGTCCAACCTTGGACACCTCCAGGCATGGGGGGTCAGCAGCTCCTCTGGGTCGTTTTCCCAGGATGGATAAAACTTTCCCAAAACCCTTTGGGGGGTGTCCAGGTGGGAGAAGCCCCATGCTTGGATCTGACACCACTTTGTGGGAATGAACAGAGGAATTGCTGCAATTCCTTGTGGAATTTGGGGTCCTGCCTGTCCCTGGTCCTGGAACCAGCTCCAGCAGCCAAATCCAGAGCTGAGCATCCCAAAAGCAGCACCAGCCACAGGGAGCTCTCGGAATGCTCCAGAAGAAACATTATGGAACAATCTTCCAGAATGGAGAATAGATAGGACCTCTTGGACAGGATGGACAGGACCTCTTGGAATGTTCCAGGTGCAGTGGGGATGGACAGGACCCCTTGGAATGCTTCAGGAGCAGTGGGGATGGACAGGACCTCTTGGAATGTTCCAGGAGCAGTGGGGATGGACAGGACCCCTTGGAATGCTCCAGGAGCAGTGGGGATGGACAGGACCCCTTGGAATGCTCCAGGAGCAGTGGGGATGGACAGGAGCTCTTGGAATGCTCCAGGAGCAGCGGGGATGGGCTGTCCTGGTGCTTTGGGATTCCTGGAGCACCGCCACGCTCTGCAGGACTTCCACAACCCAAAATCCCCGTCACTCACCGCCACCGCGTATCTGGTGACGTTGTCCCTCTCGCTGTCCTCGATCACCTTCTCCAGGTCTGGGCTGTCGTGGGACTCTCCATCTGTGATGACAATCATTACTCGCTTTGCCCCTTTCCGGCCACCTTTCCGAAACGCTTCCGAGCTGCAAGTGAAGAGATGCCCTGGGCTGCTCAGCCCCGCCAGCTCCGTGGGGGCTCCGCCGCCCCACCGAGCCTGCCCCGAGGGGTCTCTGGGGCTGCTGCCCCTTGGGGAGGTGCAGGAACCCTCGGGAAATGCTTTGGGATGTGGATTTCCCCACTTTTTGCAGGAAAGAGGCTGTAATTCAGCAAAATTGGTTGAGGGAATGGATCTTGAGTTGGCCAGCGGAGTTCTGGCCTTGGCCTGTGGGGCCTTTCCCTGTGAGGGAAAATTTCTTCATCCCATTATCCACACCTGCCAAAATCACATGATTTTGACAAAGCACGGTCCCAAATTCCAGCATATTCATGGAAAAGGGACACTGACCAGGGCTGGGGACTCTGTGTGACACAAATCGTTCAGGACCTTGCTCAGATCTGGCCAGGATCCATCTAAAACTTTTCCAAGCTGCCCAGGGCAGTCCTGGAATTGCCATTCCTGCAGGGATTTCCAAACCACATGGATGTGGCACTTGGGACATGGTCAGTGGTGGCCTTGGCAGTGCTGGACTTGATTTTTGATCTCTTTTCCAACGTAAAATTTCATGATTCCCAGCAGGAATACTGCTAGGAAAAAAGGCTGGAGGAAGGATTTGTCCTTCCTTTGGAAAGGGAGGAGGTGGAGCTGTCCTGAGCTCCTGTGGACTCTCCAGGGAATTCCAGGAGAGCTCCAGGTTCTGGGGCTGAATTTGGGGACTGGGAGCTCATCCCTGGGGGCTTCCAGGGAGAAGCCACAATTCCAGAGCCTGCCCCAGCTGCAAACGAGCAGTTTTGGGAAGCGCCACTCTCAAAGCTTCCCCCAAATCACATTTTCCTACAAACCCTGGCGATTCCCCCTTTCTTGAGCAGCAAGGAAAACAAAAGGAGAGGGAAGGAGGGGGAAAAAAAAAAAAAAAAAGTGGATTTGAAGGTTTTCCTGGGGAGAAGAGCAGGAGTGGGAGGGGTTTTACCGAGCGAACTCGATGCCGTAGGCGGTCCGGGTCTCGGTGCCGCCGCGCTGCTCGATGTGGCTGGCGGCCGCCACCACGTCCTGCACGGACCTGTAGTCGTTCAGGTGGAACTCATGGACCACGTCCTCTCCGTACTGGACAACTCCCACCTGGGAACGACGGGAATGGCACCAAAGAGGCCAACAGAACGAGGTCCTGTCCACCACGAGCGCTGTCAGCCACGGGAATCGCCAGCCACGGGTAGAATTCTCTACGCTCATTCCCAGTTTTCCCTCCATGGGATCATTATTCATTCCCAATTTTATGGCTTGGTTCCCAAGTTTTGGGGACATCCAGATGTGCCATGCTCCACTGTCCCAGTTTGGACGCACAGCATTTCCAGCTGTGGGACCAAACTGGGTAATTTGGGAAAATCTGGGATATTCCTGCTGAAATTCCTGCCTGAATCAACCCATGATTACTTGGTGAAAGAGCATGGAGAGCTCCTTTCCATGGGGTTTCATCCTCCCTGTTCCCACTGGGATGTGGGATCCCTCTGTAGCTTACTTAGGGACATTAATTTCTTCCCATGGGATGAGTCAAAAATCCCAATATTTTGACAAATTCCAGCAGCTTGACAGAAAAGGGACATTGGGAATGGCCCTGGGATGACACAAATGGTTCAGGGCCTCACCTGGATCTGTCCAGGACCGATGTAAAACTTTTTCAGGATATTTATCAGGAAGTGCTGGACTTCAACCCACGGATAAATGCTGTTGGATCCATCCAGAACGATGATGATGTCCATGTAGGTCTGGCATCCTGTGGAAAATCCAGGGATTTATTAAAAATGTTCTTGCAAAGGGACAGATTTATGGCTTCACTTCCCGCCAGGTACTTCCTCTTAGGATTTCTTAAGGAAAAAGAAAAAATCTTTTTTCAATAATTTGGGAAAGAACTTTGGGCTCCAGCAAGGTGGGGAGAAGCCACAGGAATCCTCTCTGCTGTGAAAAGATGGGATCACTTCCTAGGAATAACACTCAGCGGCATCATTTGGGATTCAGCTTTGGAATTTGATCCCGTTTAATATCATTCCACACTTCAAAGAGGAGCAGGATCCGGCTCCGTTCCTCCCGCAGAGCCGTTCCTGATCCCTGAGTCATTCCCAGCCCTGCCATGGAAAGCAAGGCGGGCATTTCCTCCCTTCCCATGAAATCCTCGGCTCCGAGGCAGCCAAAAACCCCGGAGGGGACCCCAGGGCTCGGCTCTGCAACCGGAGCAGGAAGGATTTAAGGATTTTTTCCAGTGGGGAAAATTGCTCAGGATCATCTCAGTCTTGCTGATGTTTTACAGCATTCCTTGGAAAAGTGCTCGATGATCCTGGATTTCAGAAATTTATCGGCTGCTCTTTCACCCTATGGGTTTTTACAGAGGGAAGAATCCACGGATTGGAGTCACTCATGGATCACTGGGATCCTCTGTGTGCCTCCATGTCCATTCCATCCCGGGAATCAGGGAGAGGAGCTGACCCCACATCCCATTAAATAAACACTTTCTCAAACGCCCTAAAATCCCAATTATCCTTTGCAGCGAGGGCTGGAAAATAACAAGGGAAGTGACACTGGGAATTTGATGATGCCTTTGCTGCCTTGATCCCGAAAATCCCATTTTTCCAAGCCCCTCTTTATGCCCTGGGAATTTGGTGATGGGCTCTGCCTTTCCTGCCTCGATCCCCACCAAATCCCATTTTTACCAGTCCATCTGCCCTGGGAATTAAGCAGCACCAGAGGGGTTCTGGGGCTGGGGAATCACATCCCATGGGATGAGGAGCTCCCAGGAGCAGGACAGGCTTCTGGGAATCCTTCCCAGCTCCAGGAAAGGCAGGAAGCTTCACTTCAACCCTCCAAAATAAAATCCCGGCTCCAAATTCCAACATGTTTAACTCCTGGTCAATGAAGGCTTTGTTTTGTGCAGCCAAAATGGGATTGGAGATGGGATTGGAGCTGGGATCGGAGCAGGGATGGGAGCAGGGATCTTGGTCCTCACTCTGCAGAGCCGGAGCCACGGTTCTGGAGAAGCGGAAGTTGGAGTTGACGCGGGAACACATTCCCGTGGTGTAGTAGGAGCTGCCACACTCGTGGGACCACAGGGGGCTGCAGGCCTGGCGGGGTAAAAAAGCAGGATTTGGTTCAAAGGATCCCTTTTCCGTGGATGTGCTTTATTTTAATTTCAATTTTTTTTCCCATTTTACTTAATTTAATTTTATTTTCTTTCATTTTAATTCTATTTTATCGCATTATATTTTATTTTATCAATAATTCCCTATAAATCTCCTCACATTCCATAAACAAAAACCCACCGGGAGGAACCTCCCAACACCTCCCTGTCCTGCCCCACGTTCCCGGTGCGCATTCCCAAATTCCCAGCCCACATTCCCAGGAACGCTGCTCACCAGGAAGCTGCTGTCCCTGGGGTTGGTGGCCAGGCTCAGGCCCAGGCGCATGTTGTCCTTGCGCTCCGACACGTTGGACAGCGTCACCCGCCCTTGGGAGAGAGGCCGGCGTCAGGGATATTCCCGGGAAATCCGGGATGTCCCCCCGAATCTCCGGAGGAACCGGGAATTGTGTGCCGGAGAGGAATCTCTGCTGGCGTAACTCCAGGTTTTGGGGATTTTTGGCAGATGAGAAAAGACTTGGAAAACCCAACATCACCCGCCCTTGGGAGAGAGGCTGGGATCAGGGATCAGGGACATTCCTGGCAAATCCGGAATGCCCCCTGGAATGTCCAGAGCAACTGGGAATTGTGTGCCAGAGAGGAATCTCTGCCGGCTTCACTCCAGGTTTGGGGGATTTCTGGGAGGTGAGTAAAAATTTAGAAAAATTGGTTTTTTCCTACATGAACAGCCAAGGAAGGAAAATTTTTTTGGGAATGAGACTGGGAGCTGGAAAGGAGGAAACCCCTCGGAGGGCTCAGCTCCTCATCCTGGATTCCCAGGGAATCCCTGTTTTTTCCACGGCACAGCCCAGAAATTGGGAACAGCCCCAGGGCAGCCCTGTCAATCCTAAATGGGATTGGTCACTGAGCTGTGTCCCAAATCCTGATCCAACTGTTCCTCCGGAAAACGCAGCTCCCCATGAGCCAGAGCTCCCCCTTTGGGAAGCAAACTGGGAATCATGGAAAAATTTGGGAATTTAAAGCCCATCCAGTGCCACCTTCCACCATCCTAGGGTGCTCCAAGCCCCATCCAACCCCGGCCTTGGACACTTCCAGGGATCCAGGGGCTTCTCTGGGAATTCCACCTTCCCAGGGAGGAATCCCTTCCCAGTGTCCCGTTTTCCAGGGATAATTTGGGATGTCTGGGGCTGGAACGCCGTACCCAGGTTGAGCTTGGTGCAGTTTCCATGGCTCTCACTCAGCACCGGACACTTGTAGACGTCTCCGGTCTTCTGCTGCCCGTTGGATTCGTACGGAGCTCCCACCACCAGCCTGCGGAAAACACGGAGCCGTCAGCACCGGGACAGCGGGAATCCCCCGGGAAAAAGGGCTCCTCAGCCACGATTCCCAGATTTGGGAGTGGCAGCAGAGGGCCCCAACTTCGGTGGAAGGAAAGCTTCTCCTTCTCTTCGCGCTGGAAAGAGGAAAAAGTTGGGAATGTGACTCTGGCACCTGGAATTATGGAATTCATTCCCATCAGCCGCAAGGAACGGATTCATGGCAGGGAGGAAAAACCCAAACCCATCTGGAAGCACGGGAAGGAGCAGGGAAGCAGCTCCAGGATGGCACCAAATCCCTCTGAATTGTTATGGATTGTCCTTTCTCTCCACTGCCTGTGGAGGAGCCTTTCCATAGGGTCATGGAATGGTTTGGGATGGAAGGGACCTTAAGGATCATCTCATCCCAACCCCCTCCATGGGCACCTCCCACTTCATTCCCAGAGCATCTCCAGGACATGGATATGGAGACACTTCCCACTTCATTCCCAGGACATGGATATGGATGCAGGATTCCAGCAGAACCAGAAGGAAAAACAAGGAGCTGGTGGAGCGCCTCCAGCAAATCCCACTGGGATCCACACCCCGGAAAATCCTGGAAAAGGGAATTTGCTCCAACCCAGAGTTGTTATGAACAGCCCTGAGCTGAACACTGGGATCTCCAGGGGTGGATGAGGAGATTGGGAAGGAATTTTCCCAGGGAAAATCCTGGAAAAAGGAATTTTCTCCAAGCTGGGGTTGTTACAAGCACTGGGAGATAAACATTGGGATCTCCAGTAGAGGGAAGGAATTTTCCCCAGGAAAACCCTGGAGAAGGGAATCTGCTCCAAGCTGGAGTTTTTCTGAACATCAGGAGCCAAACATTGGGATCTCCAGTGGACATCAGGAATTTTCCTGCTCTCCAAAAGAAGGCAGCTGCTAAATCCCATTCCCCAGCAAGGACACCAACTTCCAGTCAGGATATTTTTGGGACATCTGAACATTTTTCCCACTTTTTCTTGCCCACAGCATTCCAACCCAGCAACCCAAAAGAAGGAAGAGCTCAGGACCTAAGGAATCCATCCCTTCATTCCAGGCTATCCCAAAAATCCTCGGCACCATGAGTTGTTGGCAATTGCCGCTCCCAAAATAAATGGGATTTGAAAAAAAGAATTTTAGCTTCCCAAAAATTCTATGGATGCAACCATCCCAGTCTGGATCTCCAGATAAACAGGAGCTCTTTTGTTCCACAGAGCCCTTCCCAGCAGCTGGAAAAGCCACCGGCACAGATGTTCCCTGTTAGACCAGGAATTGTCATTCCTTAAAAATGTTGCTGCTCCAAAGACAAACATCCCATTCTTTTATCCCAAACCGGAATCGCTCACCCAAGGAAAAGCTCCCGAATCTGATTCTCAGGGAAGCACTTCCTGAATTACGGCTTAATGTGGGAATTCACAACGGGAAAATCATCTCCAGCTGGAGCTGTCCTCAACAGCATCCAGGAAAATCTGAGATTTTTCAGGAATTTGCTCGTTTTCCTGAGGCTCTCCCACACTCTCAAGTCCATTTGGTTTGGAGAGGAGGCAAAAGGTGGAAGATCGGGAAGGGGAATGGGAAAACCTTGAGGATGGGGAGGAATAAAGGTGGAGGCTCCTCGGAAAACGAGGATCTCCTGGTGTAATTCCCAATTCCCAAAGAATTTCAGATACATGGAATTCCATGAACTTCTAGGAGCAGCTCCAGCTTGATGTGGCCCCCCATCCTGCAGGGAATCCTCTTGGAGACTTTTCCATGAATTAATATTCCCATATTAATATGATTACACCAGCCATTAATCAATATTCCCAAAAAACCAGCAGGTTTGGGGTTGGACCATCCTTTTGGGATGACGAGGCAAATCCAAAGGCAACCCAAACATTCCCAGCTTTTGCCGTGAATGCGGAGCGGCTGCGGAGCTCCCGAAGCTGGAATTCTTGTCTCCCAAAAAACAATGGAATTGTTTTCCCTTTTCGGTTAAATGGGAATGATTCATCAGCTGGAGCTGTCAAATCCTCATGGAAACTTGGCAGCTCGAGAAAAAGGCTTTTCCAGCTGTTTGGAAGGTGTTTTTAGGGATGCTGCTCCACTCTTCCTTTACTTGGAAACTTGGGCTAGAAATCCTGGATTTTTCCTTCCAAAAGCAAAATAAAAAATTCAGGGATTTGGGACGGGTTATCCCAAATTCCCAAAAATATCCAAATAAACCAGCTCATCCCAAGAAAACTGGAGCATTCCACTATAGAAGGGAGACATTCCTGTTTTTTTCCAAACTTTCCCCCTCCACACATCCTGAGATCATCCCAATCTCCCAATTTTTCCTTGGATTCCCAGGAGGGAAGTGGCTCCTGCATCACAACTTGGCCAAAAAACCACGGCTTTGAAAGAAAATCAGAACCAAACAATTCCTGCCTCGCCTCCCTCTCCGTTCCCTGCTCCCGGAGAAAACAAAGGGAAAAAAACCAACAGGGATTAAGTGGGAAAAGCTCTGACTGCTCCGAGCTGTCTGAGGATGGATTTTTAACTTTCATCCCCAAAAACATAAGGAGAGGAAAAGCAGGAATACCCTGGGATACTGCTCTCCAAGCAAAGCCCAGTGCTGGCTCCTGATTCCCAGTTTTCCAGCCAGGCTGGGAATGGGATGTGTCCATGCCTGCAGGCTGGGAAAGGCTCCAAACCAGCAAAATCCAGGAATTTGGGAATGGTTTGGGTGGGAAAAACCTTAAAGCTCATCCCATTGCACCCCTGAGCTCCAGGCCCTGATCCTGGACAATCCCGGTCCGAGCCTGGCTGAAGGGAAAAGGAGGAGGGAAAAGAAAAAAAAGAAGGAAAAATCCTCTGGCTGGATTGAAAGCCAGAATTGTGCTGATCTGGAAAAACACTTCCAGGGGTTTCTGTTTTCCAGCTCCTGCCAGAGGTTTTCTTGGCTGGAATTCTCCCGTGGCTTGGCCGCCACCAGAGCGCTTGGAATATTTTTATGGAAGCACAGAGAATTCCATAATGTCTGCTCCTGGCTCTCCCTCCCACCCTGGGATGCAGGATCTGTGGCAGCCCACCCTATTCCCAAGTTTTTTGGGGGGATTTTCCCTCTTTTTGGCCTTGTTTTCAAGAAAATCATGGAATGGTTTGGGTCATTCCAGCCCCACTTCCAGAGGTTGCTCCGAGCTGGATTTGAACATTCCAGGGATGGGGTGGCAAAAAATCTGGGAATCAACAGCTGTTCTGAAGGAGAAGGGTTTGTTTGGGTTGGGAGTGGGAGATTGGGAAAAGTCACCTGGGAAATTCCCGGTTTTCTTGGGAATCTCCAGAGGGAAGCTGGAGAACGGCTCCATGGAAAATCCCAGCTGAACCAAGAACCAGGGAGAGGCCTTGCCTGGAAACACCTCCTTAACATCCCCAAAAATGGGGGAAAAACTCCTGGAAAAACAGGAATGTGGCATTCCTGCTGCCCACGGTATTCCAGAGTTCCTTGGGCTGCCTTTGCTCCTGTTATCCGTTGTTTTCTGGGATTTGGGATCCGGACAGGGATTTGTCACCACTGCTTGTCCCCCTCTCCAGGATTCCTTGGAAAAGGAGCTCGGAGATGCTCCCAGCCACAGCTCCTGGAATGATGGGAAGCACTCCGCACAAACACTTGGAAGGGGGAGGTGAAAGATGAAGGGAATTTTTCCCCTTTTTTTGCCCTCTCTGGGACCTCCAGGAAGATTCTTCCCAAAATTCCATGAGATTCCAGGTTGTGTTTGCGCCAAACATCCAGGAGCTCCCATTCCCATGAGAGCTTCCAGGTTTTAAGCGATACACATCCCATTTGTGGGAATTCTGCTCATTATTCCCAAAGAAATCCATCCACAGTGTCCAACCTGCCTGGATTTGGGATTCAAACCCTCCAAAACCACTCCATCCTCCCAGGAATTCCTTCTCCTTATCCCCAAATTCCTCCCAGGTCATTTTGTCCCAGCAGCACAGGGAGTTCCCAGTTTTTTCCAGTTTTCCCAAAAATCCCCAGTTTGGACACCGGGAATGCTCCGATCCCATAATTCCAGGTCCCCATTTCCCTGCCTGCTCCAGGAGCAGGAAGCTGCCATTCCATGGAGCTCCAGTGGTTTTTGGGATGAATTCCAGGCACCTGTTGTCATCTTTTCCATCCCCACTTGGAGAAGGCATCTCCAGCTCCACGGAAAAGATGGAAAAAGTGTGGAAAAGGAGGTCTGGAAACCCCTCACTGCTCTGGAAAATGCCGGAGCAAAATCAAATCCCACATGGATGAGCTTTTCCAGCCTTAAATATCCAAGTGGAATTTCCCCCCCTCCCAGAGTTTAATAACCCGATTTTTTTCCTCACAGATTTTCCTCATGGATTTTCCGCTCTCTGGGATGCACTTCCATGAGTCTGGGTGGTTCCTTGAAAAGTCTGGAAAAGGGGAAAATTCCCAACTTCCAAAAATACCTGGAAAATCCAATCTGTTTGGAGCCACTCCAATATTCCTTTAGAAATATATGGAAATAAAACATAAACACAAAATTCTTGGAATCCGTTCCCAAACAATTCCCAGCAGCCAAAAGCAGCATTAAAAGGCTCAGACTGAAGGAGAGGTGCCAAAATCCTCGGATTCCGCTCTTGGAATTTGGCAGCTGCGTCCCGGCACATCCATGGCCGGGATTCTGGGAGAACCATGGAGTCTCTGCTGTATTCCAGTGGATTTTGTGGAATTCTTTGGGATGGGATTGGAAGATGCTCAGCGGGAATTGGGGTCTCAGGACATTCCTTCCATGTCCTGACAGCTCCTGGAATTATCCAGCTCCTGGAATTGTCCTGCACCTGGACTTGTCCTGCACCTGGAATTCTTATCCAGCTCCCTCTGCACATCCGTGGTTTTTATTCCAGAGGTTTCTGGTTGCTCCCAGATTTCTCTATTTTTCAGCTGTGTCCACATTTTTCCTTGGAATTTTTTCCTGCTCAATTGCAGATTCCAGCAGCGCTGAGTTTTTAGTCGTGTCCATCCATAGGATCCCGCTGGAAAAAATTCCATTTTTCCAAGCAGAGGAACCAACAGGAGGAAAAACTAGAGGTGGATCCTGCGGATGTTGGCAGGAAAAGTCGGGAAAAGAAGCCAGGGATGGTCTTTGGTCCTGCTTGGGAAAGCAGGAAAAATTTCCTGATTTCCAGGGAATTCAGCCCTTGGTCACCCCATCAGTGGTGGTGACATGGGAAAATGGGATAAGAGATCCCAAAATCCTGGGAATTGCAGCCCCTCAGCTGGGATGGAACTAAAACAGTTCCTATGGATACAACCGGGATGAGAATATTCCCAAAACTGGGATTTCCCAGCAATTTCCCTCAGAATCCCGGGAAACACTGAACTCCCAACTTTCATCCCAAGGCATCAGCCCTTCCATTGGATGCACAATTCCAATGGGAATTTCCACCAGTCCTGGTGGAAAATGGGGCTGGGAGCCATGGAAAGAGAGACCCCGACTTCCCAAAACTCCATGGAATGGGAATCTCAGGTTCAGGGTACGGGAGGGTTTTCCAAAGGAGGCAAGGGTTGGATTCCAGAGTTCCAGGAGTATCCCTTGCATTAATTATGGGACTAAGCCTGGATTCATCCACCTGGGGGGAAGATCCTGAATTTCAGGGAATTCCATGGGATTTGGAGCATCCGGATATGCTCCTGGAATGCACCAAAGGTCTCTGCCAACATCTGGGTGGGATCCCCTGGGATTCATTCCCCTGGGATCGGCCCTGGATTCATCCCTAGGATCGGCCTTGGATTCATCCCTGGGATCGGCCAAACCCACCCCAAATCCCAAACCTGAGCCAATCCCAGGTTCATCCCACATTCCCGATGGATCGATTCTCCAGGCCCTGGCTCCTCCATGCAAATTGGAAAAACCAGGATGGCCTGGACCCAAATTCCAGACGTGATTCCAGCCCTGGAGGGCTCCAAGGAATCGTGGTCCAGCCAGGACACTCCTCCACATCCACCCTTCCCAAATTCCCAATATCCCTTATCCCACCGAAAATTCCTCTTTTTTTAAGGAAAACCTTTCCTTCATTCAGCACTTCCAGGAGCAACCACATCCTGGCCCAGCTATTCCTGGGAATTCTGGAAGAGATTTGGGGTGATTTGGTGTAATTCCCACTGAAATTCCCTCTGGAATTCCCGGTTTCCTGGAGCCCACTCACCATTTCTTCCCGCCGATGTCGTGCTGCTGCACTGTGTATCCAAAAAAAGATTCCCTGGATCCCACAATGATCTGGGGCCTCTTGGTGTCGATGTTGAAGGAATTCCCAAATCCTGGGGAAAAAAGGGAATGATCTGTCAGCCAAAAAGCTGGAAAACACCAATTCCACATGGATGAATTCGGAATTCCAAAATCTCAGAGAGGTTTCAGCCATGGGATTATTCCAACCCCAGCCCCGCTCCGGGTTCTCCCACTTGGGGTTGGATTCGATGATTCCAGAGGCGCTTCCAACCTTGCCCATCCTGGGAAAGCTGCTCCCGAATTTTTGAAGATGCTGCAGGAACAGGGATGGGTTGATCCCATTCCCATCCCAGCCAGGATGGGAATTCCAAAGCATTCCAGCCCCGCCTCATCTGCAGCATCCCAAAATTCCGCTCTCCATTCTGGAGTTCCCAGGGAATATCCAGCCCTGCGGATGGAGCTCAGAGCTCATTTAGGATTCAGAATTCCTGAAATTCAGCCCATTCCCAGCCCTCAGTAGCTCATCCTGGAAGTTCCCTGGAGCCAGGATGGGAAGGGGAAGGAGGAAGGAACTTCTCCCTCTGGAATCCATGGACTGAGCCACTTCCATGGGGATCACAAGATGGGATCCATGGAAAAGGGATTCCAGCCACTCGCAGGGGTTTTCCCAAGGATCCAAAGCTGGATTCCCATTCCCTGTGGGAGCAGGAGCTGAGGAGAGGCAGCTCCAGAGGGGGATATCCCTAAGGATGGAATTCCAGCTGGGACAGGGCGATTTTTGGGATTGGTCCTTTCCCTCTGGAAAATGCCACTTCCCACAGAACAGCAGGAGCACGGGATCCACAATCCCAATCCCAGGATTCCGGTGCTCACAGGGAACAAATTCCAGAGAAATTCCCTTGAACAAAATTTGGGGAATTCTCTGGCAGCTCCTCCCTGTGCCAGGAGCCAGATCCAGGTGGGAAATTGGGAAATCAGGAATTCCCCTAGGAGCAGGAATTCTAGGAATGCTGGAGATGCTATCCATGGGAAGCACAGAGGGACACGGCCCAAACTCCAGGATAGAGCAGCAGGATGGACATGGATAACCTGGATATCCTGGACTGGATTCCCTGAATCCTGCTGGATGCTTCATTCCAAGCAAAACCTTGGAATTCTCCTCCAGGACAGGGACGGGATGCTCAGGTTGGAATTTTTTGGGATATAAAGGATCTGTCGGCAGGAAAATTTGGCACTGCTTCTTCCCAGGTGGAAAAATCCAGGATGGGAATGTTTGGATAGGCAGGAATGTTTGGATAGGCAGCAATGTTGGAGAAAAAGGGAATGTTTGGAATCTTAGGAACAAATCCACTCCTGAAGCAGGGAATGGAAGAATCTGACCATGGATTCCAAGGAAAAGGAACTTCCAAATGATCCAGAAAGAAACTCTAGAAAACCAGGATTTAAAAAACCCCCAGGGATAAAAAAACCCGGGAGACAGGGATGAGAGCCAAGATATTTTGTGGAGCGTTGACCTCATTTCACATCCCAAAGAAATGAAAACCTCGGGAGAGAGGGAAGCTGGGATTGGCCATGGAATGATGGGAAAGGGGGAAGGGCATCAGAGCACCCTGGAATCAGAGGGAATTTTGGGGACTTTGGATTCCCAGCAAGAAATTCCAAAATCCAGAAGAGTCTTGGATGCAGAGGAAGTGTCAGACCGGATGGGATGGATTTTCCTCTTGATTTTCCTGGATTTTGCATTTGATTCTTGCCAGGAAAAATATTGGGAAACAAGCAAATCTTTGGGAAAGAAGGATGGGAATAAAATCCACATCTCCTCCAGGGCAAAAATCAGGATAGAAAGAAGTCCTGGAAGGAAAATATCTGGGATGGGGATGATTCCAAAGGCACCGGCACCAGGAAAATGGGGAGAAAATGGGAGAGAGAAGGGGGGAAAACTGGGGAAAAATTGGAAAAACTGGGGGGAACGATGGGAATAAAGGGG